GCCTGAGGCGAGCCTCCCTAGAGCTGCCTCAACTCTAAAAAAGAGGCTGGGAGTGAGGCTGGGGGTAGGCCCTGCGGACACTGACCAGAGGGGGAGACCAGCTCGGAGGCCCCACCTCCGGCTGTGCTGCATCTCAGCAAGCTCTGCTGTGCGGCGCCTGGCTGGCATCTGGTTTCTGAGGTCTTTCATGCCTGTTTTCTTCAATAAGCTGGAGTGGAAAGGTCCTCCCCTCTCTGGTTACTTTGCACTGGCTCATTTTCCCCTCCTCTTCTCACCTGACTCCAGGGGGTTGCAAGGGAGCAAGATACAGACAGTCGGTATTCTTCCTACTGGCCCAGAAAAAGGGCTTTGAATGGGCGTGTCTCTGTGTGTGTGTGTGTGTGTGTGTGTGTGTGTATGTGTGCGCACAAGAATTTCCTGGAGACAGGCCAGGCCTCCCCCATCAGACAGGCAGGGACCCAGCCGTGCCCTGAGGAGCTTTCAGAAGAGATGACTCCCAGCACTAAGGCCTCATAATCCCACTGCAGGAGGTGGAAGATGCTGCCGGGCCAACTCGTTAGCCTCCCTATCTAAAGGACTGGCCAGGCTGGCAGCAGGGGGCAGCTCTGCCATACAACTCAGGCCAGCGAGGAGTGGGGGACCAACCGGCCCACAGCTGGTAGCCAGAGGACGGATACCCAGGCACTCTTCCCAGATGCTCAGCACTGGCAGGGAGTGGGGCAATGGGTCAGCACAGCCCTTCACCGTACAGGTGAGAAACTGAGGTTCAGAGAGTGGCTGGCCCCTGCCAAGTGATGCAGAGCAGAGTAGGGACTGAAAACAGGTATTTGGATTTTAATTGGGATTTTTTCATAGTATCATGTCACATTGTTCTAAAATCAGAAGTTGGAAAGTTTATTCGTCTCTGTTCATCGCCCCTCCCAAGACACTTGTGGGTAGCAGGCCTGTGCTGAGGCTTGAGGAGACCCAGGATTGCATGAGGCCCACGCCCTCAAAGGCCAGGACCGGCTTGGCGTTCAGGCGCTACAACAGCCCCATGGCTCGATAACCGTGGAAGAGAATGTGCTGCAAGGGAGCTACAGGCAGAGCACAGTGGGATACGGGGAGACAGGGAGGGAGAAAGGGGGGACTTTTACTCACTTAAAGCCCACCTCATTCCCAAAAGATTTATGGTAGCTGTGAGGCTGTGAACTCACAAGGGTTTTAGGGTATGATGTGGTCTTAAAGGATGAACAGGATTCAAAGAGGGCAAGATGGGGACGGGCATTCCAGGAGGGAACAGGTTGTGCGGAGACATGGGACATGTGTGAGGTCTCGCAAAGCCCAAGGTGGCTGGAATGGAGGGGTAGTGGGCAGTGCTGAAGGGGAGGTAGTCCTGTTCTGACTCCCTGTGTGCCAGCCTATTGTGGGCACCATTGTAGATCAGCATGCCCTGTTAGAGGCTGGTCACCTTGGCTTTAATCACTATATTTCCACAATGATGCTATGTAACAAACTCCCCAAAATTCAGTGGCTTAAAATAGTATTTAACTATTATCTGTGGGTCAGAAATTTTGTCTGGGCTCTGCCAGGTGGTTCTTCACTTCTTAGCTGGGCTCACTTCTCTGGAGGTTGGCTGGCTATTGGCTGACCTAGGCTAGCCTTGGCTGGGGGCTGTGATGACTTGGCTCTTCCCCATATGTCTGAGTCCTCTAGCAGGCTCATTTAGGCGTGTTCTCATGGCGATGGCAGATGCACAAGAGGGCAAGATCCAGTGTGAAAGCCCATTTCAAATTTCTGTTTTCAGCACGTCTGCTAGCATTTCATTGGCTGAGTCCAGAGTCAAGGGCTAGGGTAGGTTCCCTCCATTCATAGTGGGAGGACAATACAAAGGTACACACCAAAGGGCCTGGACACAGGGAGCAGGAAGCATGGGGGCCATCAGTACAACCTACCACAGACATTTGCTACTCAGCCTTGGCACAGACATCTGTGCCCACATTCCTGGATAGGTGCAGAGCAAGCCTCTAGGGCCTCACTCAGTCCTGCCTTCCCAAGGGAGCTCTCCTTGCTGACTCGGCGCCCAACTTAGCTCATGCCGCTTGACTCCATGAGGGCTCAGGTAGGTGTGTGTGTGTGTGTGTGTGTGTGTGTGTGTGTGTCCGCCTCAGCCAGATGGTGGGAACTGGCGAAGGGCTTCCTGCTTGTCATCCCTGTGAGCTGGGCTGCAGAGCCACAGAGGTGAGTCGGACTTGGCCCCTATCCTCCAGGAGGCCCAGTTTTCTGTAGGAGACACAGCGCCAGCAGTGACAGCATGGCAAGGAGCAGGATCAGGTGCACGGGGCACAGAGAGAGCCCCAGGGCGCATAGGCCCAGCCCGGCCGCCAGGAAAGGCCTTCCAGAGAAGGTGAAGCTGGAATGGAGTCCAGGTCCAAGGCTTGGCAAGTATGAGCAGGAGGCTAGGAGGGATCGGGGCTTTTCGGCAGGGGTGGGAGAATTCTGTCCCACATGGGGACAGCACAGGCAAGGGCTCGGCCCTGGGAGCAGGCGGACATGTCTGAGGAACGGCAGTGGCTGAGTGTAGCAGGAGGGAAAGTGTAGACACAAGGCTGGAGAGGCTGACAGGGGCAAAGTTACCAGGCCTTGGGCTCTGGGTGGAGGAGGGGAGGCGACAAGCATGAGGCCATGGTAACCTGCGCGGTGAGGAAAGCGGCTCTGGGGCGGGCGGGCGGGGCAGACCGGAGGCGGGAAGATCGGGGGCAACCGTAGTCCGGGTGTGGACAAGGAAGGCCTGAGACTGGCAGAGGCGGTGGAAGTGAAGAAGAGGGAGTGAATGAGAGAAGCGACCCTGACTCTTCAGGGCTGGGTGACCTGCCGGATGTGGCTCTCAAGGCACAGAGGTCACAGGCCTGGGGTCAGCGGCTGGAGCTGAGGGCTGGGAGTTCCCTGGAGTCTAAGGCTGGTGCTGGGGTCTGCCAGCTGGTCGGAGGCCAGGGAGACGCGGGGCAGGCCGGCTCGGGCTGCGGCCCCCAGGGGCCAGGTTCCTGATAGGCTTGGGGACCCTGACTCGGCACAGCAGCCACCAAGAGCCTGGAGCCAGGGCAGAGCTGCTCTTCCCTCTTGAGTACCTGGCACGGCCACGCTGCCACCTGCTTCATCTTCATCGGCACGTCCCACACGACAGTGCTGCTGGCCGAGTTTCAGGGGCTTGAAGGGCCGCAGCCAAGCACCTTCCCGCGGTGTCTCCCTGGCTCCCAAGCTTAGATGCCGCTTGTCCGCAGGCTGAGGGGGACAACTGCTCAGCAGGGAGGCCCTGAGGCTCGTGTCGCCTCCCTGGGGGCTTCCAAGGCGGCCCCACGAGCTGACCTCCCACTTCCCACCCACTGGGAGGTGGGGCCTCAGGCCTCCCGGCCACCTGGGAGCCGTTGGCGCCTTCAGCTCTGAGCCGTTGGCTGCCCGCACAGGCAGCATCCCTTCCTCCTCTCCGAGGCGTCCTCTCATGCCCAGGACTCCTGCTGGCCCAGAACTTGTCACCAGCTGTGTTTGCCTGGCCCAGAGCAAGGGCGTCTCTGCTCTGCCCAGGGCCGAGCCCAGCCGGGTCCGGGTCTGACTCCGTGCACAGGTGCCAGGGCCCGTCTCTCCCGGAGAGCGGGGCCCAGTCCCGAGCAGCTGCTGAGGCAGAGCAGCTCCTGGATCTTAAGACTTGTCTGAGGAAGAGCTGCACTCTGTAGAGCGCCTCCCCGCGTCCACTCACAGGCAGGAGCTGTGTTTCAGAACAAGCCCGGCCGTGGGATCGGGAGACCTGGCTTCCTGCCTTAGTCCTGGCGACTGGACTTCAGGAAACCTCTTTGGGCTTCAGGTCCTTTAACCCTAGAATGCATTTTAAAAGGCCAGCTTCAAAACACTTGTCTGTGAATTGAAAAGGTAATACGTCTGAAAATGACTCATAGCGCCTGGCATATAGTAGGTGCTAACTTTTTAAAACTCATTAATTCCATCATGCACATCAGTTAACATGTACCGCTACTCCCGGTACACAGGGAAGCCCAAGAAGGGAACCTTTCGAGGGGAAGGACCTTGGAGAGCTCACAGCCTGGTCCTATTGAAAGCCCCTGCTCCACACTGGGGTTAAAGAACACGGATCAAGTTAAATCCATGGTGCTAGGAGCATGGGACGGGGCTGTGGGGGCTGGGGCGGAAGAGGGCAGGGTGGGCTCCTCTGGAAGGAGGAGGAGAAGAGAGAGAAGAGGCTTTGGTCTATGAATCCTGAATCTCTTGCTGGTTTGACCCAGTGTCATAAATGTGTTTAGTACTGTTGCTGCCTCAGCATCCGCATTTAGGCCTGACATAAGTTATTTAGAACTCAAATGTACTCCTTCACCTTCGGCCTACTTGAAAGTGCCCTCCCCAGGTGGCAGTTTGCAGCATAGCCTGCCTGCTCCTCAGCCCACGGAGCCCAGACCTAACACGCCGCAGCTGCCGCCCGCCCGCGGCGACAGCACAGTCGACACCAGACTCACGTGGATAGGTCCCGCTTCAGGCACGCTCCCCCTAAACCCGAGAGCCACAGCCCGAGGGGTAGCACCTGGGGCCTAGTCCCACCGGTCCCCGCCCCCGCCCACTGGTTGAGTCCCTGTCACCTCTGGACTTCCCATCAGCCTCTCGTGGGCACCCCTCGCCTGTCCGGGACCTGTGGGAAATGCATTTCTTCTGTGTTGGGTATTGCTTCCTCATTGTGTCTCACCTGACACAGCCCCGAACCTAACTCTCCCCGTCCGCTCTCCTGCAGACTAGCTGTTTGGCTTATGGCCAGAGAGACTCAGGATCAAGTCACAAAAAACCCACACCAGGGAGACCAAACAGTCCCCCGCGGCAGGCCCTGGCCAGGTTCCCCTGGGGCCAGCGGACGGCAGTGAGCCTTGGGCCTCTTGGGCACCTGGAGCCCTTGTTGCCAAAGACTCACCCTGGAAATGCCAGCCCTCTTTTTTTTTTTTTGCTGCTGAAGCTGGAAGCCTGGGGGAGAAGGAGAGAAGTCCCCAGCCCGTAAGGAGGGACGAGGAACTTGGGGCACGGAAACTGCCGGTGGACCAGGGGATGGGGCGGCTGGACGTGCGTCCTCTCCTCGGCCTTCAGAAGTGACCCCTGGGTTCCTGGGCAGCTCAAGATGCAGACACGGGTGGGGAGAAGTGGAGACAGGCGGCACCGGGCTCCCCAAGGTCAGGGGCCTGTACATCGCTCCTTCCCCAGAGCCCAGCCAGGGCCGGGGTGGTGGAGGTGGGATATGTACTTGTCAAACTGATTTGATAAGAAAGATCTAGAGTGTGATCCAGCCACAGAGACAGGGGCAGGCAGAGAGGCAGAGAAACCAAGAGATGAGAAGAAACACACACTCAGGTAGAAAAACCTAGAGAGAGAACGGAAATAGAGAAGGGGAGGGAGGAGAAAAGTCTAACAGAGCAGAGATGGGGAAGAGAGAGAAAGAGAAGATAGTGCCTTCATCAAGTCCCAAAATAGCAGCTGCTGGTGCCAGTGGCCTGCTCTGAGATGGCCTTCGAGTTAGGAATGAATTCAGCATTCTCTGAGCCCAGCCCTTGTGCGCGGGTGTAGCTGTGTGCTGGCCCCAGGCTGTCAGAAAAGGCCCAGCTGGAGTGGGTTGTGTGCCCAGTGTGTGGCTTCCCGCCCCGGCTCCCCACACCCCTCCGGCTCCCGCCCTGCACGCCCAGTCCAGGATGCCACGGTGAGGTGGCAGCACCAGCTCTGGGGAGGCCAGGGTCGCTCCAGCTTGCCTGGGGAGAGGGGAAGAGGGACCCGGGGGTATGGGGGACGGGAAGACATTGCTCTGGGGACATCCAGCTTTGGAGAAGAAGAGACGGCTGTTGGAGAGTTGGATACTCAGTGCTGTTATTTTAAAAATGAGTTATACTTCCATGAAACTCTCTTAACAGGCTGATAGTCTTCTCGCATCCTCTCTTCCAGATGCCAGCCCCAGTTGTGTGGCCCAAGCGCCATAATTTAAGGTGCCACCTCCTCTCCAACCCGATCACCTATTGCTTAGGAGGAAGGGGTGATCCTGGTGTCTTACGGGGACGTGATATCTGCCCCAGCCATGTATAAACATGGCCTGGCTGGGCTCCATTTCCCCTAAGGATAAAATAAAAACACCTGATATTCTTCACACCATGAGGATTTTTTTTTAGATGCTAAGAATTTTCCAACAGCATGAGAAATAAGACTAACATACCGGGAGAGATAAGTTGAATGACCACCACCCCACCTCCTTGAGCTGTCACATGGAAAATTCGAAACTTTTTCTATAGACTTATGCCACATCTGTGCTTGTGATGCTCAATCAATATTGTGATGCTCAATGCTATTAAAATTTAACATTAAAATATCAATTGGCAATTAATATTTGGAAAGTACCCTCAAACACAAAAGAAGGGAAGGGAAGGGAATTGATATTTTTTGAGCGTGTATTTATATGCTGGTCACTGGGCTTTATAAACATTTTTACTTGCGTTGACTTGTTTAATCCTCAGAACAAGCCTTTGATGTTTTTATGACCATTTCTGCTCCAGACCTGGGAACAGTGGCTTGGAGAGATCAGGTAACTCACCCAAGGGCACCCACCTGGTTAGTGGAGGAGCTGGGAGCCCAACCCTGATCTGCTTGTCTTCAAAGTTCCCTTCACTATGCCAGGGGACCCAGAGGACCTCAGGGAAAGCTTGTTTCTGGAAGCAAGGTGGAGGATTGTGATAGAGTGGGGAGTGAACAGAGTCTTTCAGGAGGCTCGTGGGAAGTTGATACCCAGGGCAGCCACACTCACCTGGCGGCACTGGGTTCAAGTAGCCAGGTGGTAGCCAGAAGCAGCCTAATCCCACAGGGCCAGCAGTTTAGAGACATCGCAGGTTGGGTTCACCTGGAAGCAGACTCAGAGACAGTTAGTATGTGACAGTGTATCAGGGAGCGGCCTCAGGACCAAGGCTCAGGCGGAGGGAAGGAAGCCGGAGTGGGCAGCAGTGCAGTCTCAGTGCAGGCCTCAGCTGGCCCCACAGGAGCCCTGAGCCTTCAGAGATGTGCAGTGTTGGGGTGTGGGAGCTGGGCCTTAATATTCTGTCACTGACCAGTCTTTGGGTGCGGGCTACCTGGGAAGGGGTGTTGCCTTAGGTAAGGACACTTTCTTTGGCTAAGATAATTCCCAGAGGAGATGAGAGCTGGCTAACAGCCACCTTCCCAGCAGCTGAGAGAGTAACTCCTTCACTTCTGACAGGGCCATCCGGTGGGGCAGCACAGCATCCATGACAGTGATGCTGGCAGGGACGTGGCTTGGGCAGGTATTCCTTAGGCTTGGTGAGGCCAACTGCAGGATGCACAGAGACTTCGATGGACAACACTTACCGTGGATAAGGATTCCCAGGGGGCAAGGGCCTTACAGATTATGGGGAAAATGAAGGAAGCTGGGTTGAGGAGTTCTGGAGGTCTAAATATGTCCCTCTGCTCCCTGTCCCAATAGTGCCAGACAGGAAAGATGCCCAGGATGGGCTTCTGGAAGGAGAATCAAATGAGAACAGAGTCATGCCCTGGCCAACATGTCCTCCAGAAAGACCTAGAGTTCCTAGCCCTGCATGGCGCTATGCCAAGTGGGAGGAAAAGAAGGAGAAAATGGATGAGACAAGTGAAGGACATGTTGGTCCTTCCTCAAGGCACTCGCTCGGGCTGGGGGTGCAGCTTCATATGTGGGAGCAGGCAGGGAAAAGCACACGGTGTGCTCCTGGCTATCTTGGATGATGCTGCCAGCTCTTGGGGTAAATTAATTCAGAAAAGCAAGCCAGCAAGGTGGGAAAGTCAAGGAGAGATCCTCAGAACAGAAGAGGCTTAGCATGAGCCTTGAAAAATGCCAAGGAGTCAGGCAAGCAGGGATCTGCATTCCTGAAATGTCCTCTCACTTCCTTGCCCTGTGACCTTGTAAGAGGGAGTATTAGTACTTACCCAGGGTTGGTCCATATCCAGATTCAGAGGTGACCCAGAGAAGCACCTAGCCCTCTCTCTTGCCTTTATAAACTCTCTGCCTTCCTAGAGGCTCTGGACCTGTCCATGGTGCTGAATTTCAGGGTGCTTGTTCAAGCCTCGCCTTGCTTGGGAGGATCAAGTCTGCAGGATTTCAGTTTCTCCTTCTGCAAGAAAGTGACAAGGTGAGCCTCTTCACAGAGGGGTTTTAAAGGAGGCTTTAGCCAATCCCAGAAGATCTCCCCTTGTCCCAACTTGCTTACCCTGGAAAGGCTTCACTGGGCAGAACAGGACAGGTTAGGTAGACCTTCCCAGTCCAATGAGCAGAGCACAGGGGCAGCAAATCTTTGGTGTCTGTCCAGAGAATAATGTAATGTGGGCAATTTAAAGGTGTTCCCTCAAGGGGGCTGCTTGGAAGTGATGGAGCCATTCTGTGCCTTGATTTTGGTGATAGTAATATGGATATATATGTGTGATAAACTTATAAAACTATATATACATACAGACACCAAAAAAAAGAGTGCATGCTGACCAGGCATGGCAAGTCATGCCTGTAATCCCAGCACTTTGGGAGACTGAGGCTCGAGGATCACTTGAGGCCAGGAGTTTGAGACCAGCCTGGGCAACATAGAGAGCCATCTCTACAAAAAAATAACTTAAAAAGTCAGCCAAGCATGGTAGTGCATACCTGCAGTCCTAGCTACTTGGGAGGCTGAGGTGGGAGGATTTCTGGAACCCAGGACTTTTAGTCTGGATGACAGAATGATACCCTGTCTCTAAAAACTAAAACTAAAACTAAAATAAAAAGAATACATTATGCACAACTATTTCAGAACAAAAAGAAAAAAAAAAAAAGAATACATGAAGAAACTGGTAAAAGCCAACTAAGATCTACAGATTTAGTTCATTGTATTATGCTAATGTCAGCTTCCTAGTTTTACTATTGTGCTACAACTATCGCCACATTCCCCCATACCAACAGGGGAAGCTGAGTGATGGGTACTTGGAAGCTTTTTGTACTATTTTTGCAAGCTCATGAAGTCTACAATTATTTCAAATTTTTTAAAATTTAAAAATAGGGTTCCCAGTGGCCTGCTTAAGAGCCTCTTAGCAGCTGTCTTCTTGTCATCCATTTATGTCATCTGGGGGTCCCCGCTTAAGCTTTTCCTTCTCCAGGAAGCTTCCTGGCTACCCACGCCCACGTGGGGCCCTACAGCACTCACGCTGTGAGCACACAGCCAGGCCTCTGTCCTGCCACGCTGAGAATTCCCCGAGGCCAGGGCTTGTATCTTCTGGGCCTTCCGTCTCCTTCTCACACTCTGGGAACACAGCTAGTGCTCAATTATTACTTGCTGACAGTCCGATAAATATCTACCCCCCGCAGGACCCAGGCTTTCCCAAGCCCTGAGTTGCCTCCTCCCTGCCCCAGCTCCCCAGTCCAGCTTCGTGGTAGCCTGCCTCTATAAACCACGTGAGGACGCGAGAGCAAAGGACTGGGAGCCACAGGAGACGCTGCACCGTGGGCCACTTACTGAATACCTACGTCACGGCAGTGCTTCACGGCGTTGCATCTGATCTTCACAACCACCCTGCAAAGCGGAGCTGCACTCCCATTTTACAGATGAAGACCCACACAGCAGGGAGGAGTGGCAGTAACAGAACTGAAAACCAAGTTCTGGTCCCCAGCTTTGCCACGTACAGTGTAGACTGTAGTCAGGTGTTTAACCTCTCTGATCTCAGTTTCCTCATCTGTAAAATGGGAAGAATAATACCTCCTTCCCATGGATTTCATAAGAGGTAAATGAAATAACCTTCACAGCGTTTGCTATTCTGTGGATCCCTCAAAGGCTGGACAAGGCCTGGCATGTGCTGGATGTCTAGTATGTGTCTGTGGAAGTAATCTGTGAATGAATCGGTAATGAGAGCATGAACAAGTGCTGCGAAGCGCCCCCACAGTTCTGAGCACAGGGTTGGAGCTCTCTAAATGTTAGTTCCTTCCTAGTTTCCTGCCCTTCTCCTCCTCTTCCTTCTATCCCAGCCATTTCTGGCATGAATCCTCATCCCAACAGTGCCAGAATGGTGGAGGAGCTGCCAGTCCCTTCTGGTTCCAAAGGAAGGAAACTGCCACTGCAGTTTGGAGGGTTTGGCATGGGGCAGAGGCATGCTCAGGCTGGGGCTCCTCTGCCCCTGAACTCGTTCTCGGGCTGTGGCCAGTGGGGCTGGGGAAGGCTGTGCAGACCAGCAACCTGGGGTGCCTGCTCATGGGCCCTTTTCCAGGGAACCCCACAGAGTAACCTTGTGCACAGGGGTCAGGGGATCCAGGGGCCTGTGTGACACCCGCCTTCGGGGAAAAGGCAATAGGGCTTCACAGTCCCTGCCTGCCTGCCCCTCAACACAGAATCTCAGAATCAAAGCTTTTCAGAAAAGCAAGGGCCCTGCATGCATCAGTGCAAGCTCTGGGAGGCTGGTTCCTAGGCTTGAATTCCTCAGGCAGTGGGGGGCTCACTATTTCCCTGGCATGGCCGTTCTCTGCTCGCCCTGGTGGGAAGGGCAAGACAGACCATTCAAGCGTTTCTGGAATCCAGGGGGCCTGAGTCAAGGTGAAAGAGCAGTGAAGTGGCAGCTTCGTAGCTCAGCTCCACGGCCAGTTCTTTTCACTGTGGTGCCTGACAGTCCTTTACTAGGACCTGCCTGGAGGGTTCAGGCTGGTCAGTAAGTCCTTGGGGAGGGGAAACCAGCCACAGCATTCGTATTGGGGTGCAAATGATTGACAGGATAGGTTCTTTGCCGTCTGCACAATGCCCGGCCTGCTCTGAGGGGCCACTCCATGCAGTTCTTGCCTCCAGAGCTATTGGCCAGATGGACAGACAGCACATCTCTAATGCCTCTCTCCTCTTGGCCGCAGCACCCGCCTCTGTCTAGCCCTGGAAGTCCACTTCAGTAGAGGATTATTGGGTTTAATCCACATCCCCCAGATTTGGCATAATTCCCCTCATCCTGGCCCAGAAGGGATGGGGAATCCGGCCAGTTGTGCGGGCTCCTCTTCCTCTGCCTATTCCCAATTTGGAAGCTGAATAAGAATTCCTGACATTTTTAAGGTCCTACTCCCCAAACCATGCCCCACAGCTGAACATGTATGGATTAATATTGCCATTTCATAGATGAGGAGAGTAAAGTTTTGTGGGCGTTAAAGGGACTCACACAGGGAGGCAGTGTCAAGGCTGAGTCCATATCTCAGGGCTCCAAATTTCTGCTCCTACACTTAGCTCCACGTTCCTGACACCGGCCACCCCTGCCACCGCCTGGCCGCCAAGGCCAGCCAGCAACACCTGCCACAGAGGCTTCCTCGGCCACTGCCCTTCACCTCCAGTCCTGCACCGTGGACACGAGCGCCTGTTCTCAGAAAGCAACAGGGCTGTGTTCTCAGGATGCTCCTGTTAGGGGGACAGAAAAGAGCGTGGCCCAGGGAGCAGGGACAAGGAGCAAGGCGGGGCTGAGGGTCAGAGCACAGAGCCCGAGGCAGGCTGGGAGGTCAGGGAGGCCTTCCTGGGAGAGAGGACGCGGGGCCGGCAGCGCACTGCAGGCTCAGGGCAGCAATGACGTGATGGGCTCCATTCGGGGTCGGGGGCCTGGGGGAGCCGTGAGGGCTCTGAGCCAGTCCCCGGCACTGACGTTGGCTCTTGCAGTCGCACGACCCTCGCCCGCAGTGCCCTGCCTGTCAGGTCCTCCAGACGCACAGAGGCCCCGGTCAAGATGGGTGCTTCCACCCCAGAGGCCAGTGCTGTTCCCGGGCCCATGAGCTGCCCCTGCAGCCTACCGCTTCTAAAGACCCGGGCTTCTAGAAGGAGCCCAGTCCCATCCTCACACTCTGCCCTCTGCCCCAGCTCCCGCCCCGCCGTGCACTGGGAGCCTGTGCTAGCCGCAGCGGCCCTCCTCTCCTGCGGTCCCGTGGCCTGGCTGAGCCGTGATAAGCTGGACTGCGGGAGGGGCTGGTTTGTGCCAGCCACGCCGGACCTTGCCCGGAGGGCGCGACATCTTTTCCTACACTTAGAAGGATGGAGGCTCAGGCTGGGCCCCAAATTAGGTCCAATCTATGATTAGAGTCCAGGTTGAGTTACAGAAGTTAGGGGTGGGGTACGGCCAACAGCGACACAAGCACAGGCTTTCTGCTCGGTTTGGGGGGAGAGAACATACCTCCCTATGCACATGGCTTCTCGTGTGTCCTCGCTCTCCCTCTCCCTGGGGACCCAGCCCAGAGCCAGGTGCCGTGCGGGGCTGGGGCGAAGGGCCGCTCTCAGGGAGCCCTGGCCCAGCAGGCCGGGCGAGCCTCCCGCAGCCCACAGCTCCCACGCAGTCTTCTGCGGCTGCTGTGACAAACAGCCGCAGACTTGGTGGTTTACAACTGCACAGACTAGTTTTCTGACAGGCCTGACACCAGGAGAGTCTGGCGAGGTCTCACAGAGCTGACAGCGGGGCTCTGCAGGGTATGTCCCTGTGGGGTTCAAGCACGATGTTTGCTCACCTTTTAGCTGCTAGAGGCCACCTGATCGCTCGGTGGCCTTCTCCTCTCTGCAGAACCAGCAATCACCAGTCGAGCCTTTCTAATGTCACGTCACTCTGACATCGACTGTTTTTCCGCTTCCTGCTTCTGCTTTTAAGGACGCTCGTGGTTACACTGTGCCAACACAGATGATCTCCCCATTTTAAAAGGTTGGCTGATGGGCAACCTTAACTCTACCTGCAATCTCGGTCCCCCTTGTCGTGTAATTTAACACGTCCCAGGCTCCAGGAGTCAGGGTGTGGACATTTAGGTGGGGCATTTTCTGCCCATCACACCAAGTAAAAGAGGCTACAGGGCCCCCGGCATCTGCAGGCGGAGCTCGGGCTCCCTCTGGGAGCTGGAGATCTCCGCTCTCATGCTAGTTGGAGAAAAGCGCCATTGCGTAGGCCCTTTTCCCTTGGGCGCCAGCATCCCCTTGTAGATTCAGAAGAGTGGACTAGATGACTGCTGTATTGATTAGTGTAAAGTTGAGCTCTGAACTGTAGAGACCTAGCAATGACTCACTTAACTCAGTTGCTTTTAAAAAGATACGCTGGATAGCCAGGGGGGAGGATCAAGATGGCAGATGAGAAACACCGCCAGACAGTGTCTCTGCAGAAAAGACAGATTCTAGCAGAAATTAGAAAAAAGAAGCAAGAAGATGTGCATACAGTGGACGAGGGCCGGAAGGAGGGGTACCTGAGACCCCGGGAGCCTCCATGGGAGGAGGTTGCGGAGGAGAACTGGAAGCTGAGACCGCCGGAGCAGCCCGGAGACCAGCGGCAAGGGTGGGTGGATCAGTCACCTTTCCCCTCCCCTGCATCTGCGACTGCTGGTGGGCGCCCCAGTGGGTGGAGAGACCTGCGGACACCAGCCCAGAGACCGCCACAGCCAGTGAGCGGTAAGCCAGTAGCGGACGCGGCACCAGGCTCCCAACTGCCTCGGGCACCTCCGTGTGCACGGACCCGAGCCGCGCAGCAGTCACCATATTGCCTCCTCCTCCCCTCCGCCGACCCTACCCGCGGCTGCCCAGAGAGACAATACAGCCACCAGCCAGAGGAACCTCCAGGGAACGGTACCTTCCCTTTGGGGACCCTACAGCTGACTGAGGGGAACTCAGACTGTGAGCTCCCTACCTGCCAGCTCTCCCAGGTGCTGCTGGCCCAGTGATCCCAGGAGAATGGGGTAGACCCTGAGGCTGAGAGACATAGACCCAGATTGGGCTCCCTGTGGGTGAATTGGGACTGGCACTCCTCTCCCTGGTGGGGATAAGTTTGAACTCTGGACCGCAGGAGGTCAGACTGCAGACCAGATCCCGTGCACCGATGGGTCTCGCATCTGCCCGGGGCACAAGAAGGATATACGTGAACAGCTCTACTGAGGTGTGTGGTGCCTTCAGGGCGGCAGTCAGCGTCCTAGGGTAACCTCCTCCCAAAGGGAGCCGGCCCCTAGCCAAGCTGGGCGTTCCTGCGCAGGGGAAACCTCCCCACCGCGCATCACAGTCAGGGCGAGGCCGTGGGGTGGCGTGTCTAGTCTGCCTGCTGCCCAGACGGCCAGTTAGATAGGCTGCCGGAGTTGGGGAGGGTGAAAGAAGGCGAGCGCCGGCTCCAGACTGCGGGTCTCAGACAGCCCCCACCCCCACACCCAGACTTTCGAATTGAGCGGGGCCCATTCCAGCCCCTCCCTGACAGCTTTCCTGGACAGCAGAGAACAGAACTTTGACCCCTGCTAACGGCACTTGGTGGTGCCTGGAGGGCAGCTTGACCCAACCCAGCTCCGCCAGACTCGACTCCCAGACCAGCCCTCACTGAGGGGGAGAAAAGGGACACACCTGAAGTCCCCAGCGGGCCCCACCCACCACCTGAGCGCACTAGGGAGTGCCTCCCTACAGGAAGCAAGACCTGAAACACGGACACAAAAACAACAGCATAACCTGTTCCTCCAAGCAAGCACCACCTACTGACAGGGACGCGCACACGCCAGTGACTCAATATACAGGACGTGTCGAATCTCACCACAGACACCAGCCTAACAGCTCAAGAAACTAAACAAGGGCGTCGTGAATACCCAAACAAAAACCTAAAGGAAGAAACAACAAACTGATCGACATGGGCGAAGAAACGAAAACAAGCTGATCGACGATGGGAAGAATCAAGCGAGAGGAACTCAGGAAATACGAAGAACCAAATGGAAACAACCCCAAAAGAGGAGCACCAGCCCGCCTAGAAACGGACACCAACCAAAATCAGGC